CATTTGATATTATGGCCCTCCTCTGGGACACTGCATAGCTGTCTGGCCCGCTCTCTCCAAAAGTTTGCCGACCCCTAGCCTACGTCCTGAAGAAGACGGCCTATAAAGATAAAATAATACATGTACTACATGTTACTGCTGCACGTTACCATTAGGTTCTAGAAACATTCGCCGTAAACATTTTTGACGGAGGAACACTCGCCTCAGAAATTTTTGCCGTAGAAAAATTTGACGTATAGCATTTTTGCCGTAAGACAATTTCGCCTCATTTTTTTTAATATGCGAAGCAACTTGTTAAGTATATCTGGCTCACACTATTCTTACTTCGATTTAAACATTTTAATAAGCAAAGTTATACAAGCATGCACCGAAATTTGTGGAAATTAATTGCGTATTTGAAAAAGGAAGAGACATTGGCAAAAAAAAAACATTATTTACGAAGTATTGCTTGGAATTTGAACACCTTTTAAATTATTTCTTTGTTAATTCGATATATTTTTAGTCTTATTTTTTAAATGTATGTTTACTTTTCTTTTCTTTTCTGGTGTTTGACCTTGTAAAAAAAAATATATATATATATATATATATATATATATATATATATATATATATATATATATATATATCGTTTTTTCAATGTTTATTCTTTTTAATATGCGAAGTACCTTGTTATCAAGTATATATATATATTGGACATTATTCCAAAAGAGACGTTCAAGATAAGGTTATCGAAAAAAAAACAAAAAAAACAAAATGCGCCGAAATACAGAAAAAAAAAACCTAACGGCGAAGTTTAACCTATACGGCGAATGTTCTGGAATATATACCTATATCTTTTTTAATATAAATTGTTAACATATTTTTTTTTTTGGTTGTGGATCATTTTTTATTGATTTTACAAAAATGTTATTTATACACTAACAACAATCACATATACAAAATAATAGGCGTTTATTAAGCATATAATGTGTGATTTTGTAGTTGAATAAGACTTTAGATTTCTGTAATTTTATTTTTTTTTATCTTTCGCTACGACAGATCATGTGAGCAACGAGGAAAATTCTTTGCTCCCCCCCCTGTGTTGAGTGCTTCTGTGTGTAGATATTTTTGTACGCTGCTTTTTTTTGTCCGTGTGACGCGAATAGGCTCTGATGTATTACTCGCTTTTCAATTGTCGGTCACTCCCATCAAGATTCCCGCTGGCCCTTACGTTTTCGTGGAGCCGTTAGCTTTAGAACTTATTTGTTACACACGGCAAGATCCAATTGATGCCAATTACAATGCCTAAAGAAGCCCTTCGAATACAGCCATTTTTATAAGGGCACCTCCTTTTTTTTCTACCTTCTGAACCGTATTATGACAATCATAAATTATTATGACCCCGGGACTAATACTTATGATAGTAAAGAACAAAATGTCTCTTTTTTTTTCTTTTCTTCTTTTTTTTAAAGATGTGATGTTTATGACTTCGACTGCCTTACTTGTGGAACTTCTTTCCAACCCGCTTTAATCTGCAAAATTCCGAAAGGAGTTCCACAAGTAATGCAGTAAAGCCACTAAGACACAAGGGGTTAAAGTATATTGCACATCACGACCGGATGAGCCACTCCTTGTCTATTGGTATTAAAGAATGCAGTCAATTTCTAAAATGAAACCACCGCCGCCTTCTCCTCCTCCTCTTCCTTCTTATCGAATTCACCCCAAGCAAGGCAGTAAAGCGACAGAGACGTAATGGAGTTACTGGGCGTGGAAGAGTTAGAAACAGGAATATTGCTAAGGAGCGGGAAGAGAGGAGGATTAATCATGAGAACAGCAGATAGCAATTGACATTGCATTTAAATTCTTGCAGATTAAAGCTGGCTGGAAAGCATGGGGCTCGAAAGGAGTTCTACAAATAAGGCAGTAAAGCCACTAAGACACAAGGGGTTAAAGTATATTTCACATCACGGATGAGCCACTGCTTGTCTATTGATATTGAAGAATGCAGTCAATGTCTAAAATAAAGTATTCTTCTTCTTCTTCTTCTTCTTCTTCTTCTTCTTCTTCTTCACAGAGAAAGATTAATTATGAGGACAGCAGATAGCGAGTGACATTGCATTTAAATTTTTGCAGATTAAATTTGGCAGGAAAGCATGGACCCGGAAAGGAGTTCCACACGCGAGAAGTGCATGAATAGAACTTACGGCTATATCTAGCCAGATCAACTGTAATTTGATGAGACCTCAACGCCAGTCTAGTACTGCGCTTAAATTCGAAGAGTCTAGCCACCATAGTGAAGAGGCCATTCGAAAAATTACAATGAAAGGATTTATAGAAAAGGACATAGAGAAGCAATATGACGACGGTAGAAAAGTGACTGGAGTTGAGTTGCCAGATCAGGATCAATAATATTGCAGATTCTTCTTTGGAACTTATCAAGAGGCTCAAGATCTGGGAAGTGTTGCAATAAACTGTAGAAACTATGACACAGAAATCGGAAGGACTATTGTAATAGCAAAAAAAGAAAAATGCCTTCTAAAAGCTAAACAGGAAAATTTTGCTCGAAATAATAGAATTAGGAACTGCTATGCAATATCAATCCTCCTATATGGCCTTGAATATGGATCAGTGACCTCTCAGTGAAAGAGGAGACGGGGCAACCGAGGTATGGTTCTACAGAAGGATACTGAGAATTCTGTAGACGGAGCATGTTCCCAACAAGGAAGTTTTAAGGGAAATTGAAACAAAAAGGACACATGCTTAGAATCAGGAAGAGATGGTTAAAATTTCTATTTATAATGAGGAAAGAGGGCTTGGAGAATTTGACACTCACGGAGCATATTAAAAGCAAGTGAAACATAGGGAAACTGACGAAATTCTTAATACAGATGTGACGGACAATCATTACTTATAGCTACAGAGGACATGGTGAAGAGAGCCATGATCATTCACGTCCTGAAAGGACACGGTACATAAAAGAATTTCAAATTAAACTAAACTGAGAAAATATTAAGTCATTGCTGAAGAAGGACATTAAAAAACATCAGGGACAGCAATATTATGGCTGATCGCTCATTTCCGGTTAAGCCTGTGCACTAGGATGGTTAGCTAATCCCTTCTGCAGACGCATCCACAGGCACGTTCGTGTTTCTATAAAACCCGCAGAATCAACGCCAGGTTTATATTGCAACTATGCTGGAAACGAATTACAGTTTCTGGGAGAGGGAGCATAATTCGACGTGATCAACAGTTTGAATAAAGTCAGCACGCTCACCCGCTCAATCACGATGACTTGTGACTTCGTGCAGGCACTACAACCACTGATGGGTTTTCGAATAGTCCTGACTTCCTACTGTCACTCACAAGGCCCTGGTAT